GAAAGAGAAGAAAAATGGAAAAACAGGTCTCAGAGAACACAGTGCACACTTTCCATCGACCAGCCACGGCACAGCTTCGGCACGGCACGGCACGGCAAGTCGAAGGCCGGAATAACGTAATAACTTATGGTAAATGTTTTTCCGCGCAAGTAAACGCGCCATATGAACCAACGTGGAAATAGTTTTACGATCTTGAAGGTCGTCTTTAGTATTGAGCTAAGAGACACAAGATAAAAAAATACATAAGAAGGATATAAATATTTTGTTATTGGGGTTGTGGATGGGAAAAAGAAGTTATCAAAATGAAGTAAAAAGATTGAACGTGTTAAAAGAAGCATTTAACTTGCTCATAACGACACGCTCTAAATAACACGCAACTTATGTCAGCTGGTTCGATATTATGATCGTAAAGATCACAGCTGAAAATAGAATCTTTCGATATCTTTCATGATCAAAAAGAGAAAATCGATGGGCTAAAAGTACGAGTAATGTCATTTTTTCCTTTTTAATGAATCAAAAAGTAAAGTTTTATTCTAACAAATTTCTGTTTTTTTTTTTTTTTTTTAAATATTAAGAAGGTAAACATTTATAATTTAACTATCATTTTTATTGATCTTGAAAATATTTTTGTTTCCTTATAGAAAAAATATTAATTTCAAGATTGTACTGTGAAGCACGCAGGCATTTCCTAGGTATTTCACCTTTGTAAAAGAAAAAAAAGGAAAGAAAAAGAAAAATTTCTTTCTATAGGACATCTCTTTCAACAGTACAGCCTACGAAAAAAATATTGGAAATCGTTCGAAGTTATTTTTCATTTATAAAGTTATACTTTCAAATTTAAAATTAAAAACGAGATAAAAAATATTTGATAAATCAAGCAATGCAAAATATAATTACAAATGATATAAATCTTATTACTAATTACTAATTTTTTAAGTTATCACGAATACCAATTGTAAGAAAAAGAATTTTTGAAAAAAAACGGGTTAAAAATGTTCATAGAACATGATAGAATTGTCACATACGAACGTAAAAAAGTTCATAAAAACCGCAAATTTTGTAGATATGCACATAAACATGCAAAAAATGAATAAGAATTGTAAAACGTTCAGAAAAAAGCCTCGATTTTGTCTAAAAAATAAATCGGAAAAATCCCCTTTACTCCATGTTCTCCTTCTTCTTACATCTTACATTAGCTGGAATGTTTTCGAGATAGTCAGTAGAGGATTGTGGTAGACGTTTGCCCTCAATTAACTTTATAAGTGAGTAAGGAGGCGTGCGGCCGATCGTCAGTAGGCTCGGTCGCGTATATCTCAGCACCGCATGCGACGTTCATTGCGCACCAAGTGCCAAAATTTCTGTGCCGGGTGTTGAGGCATTTTTATTGACGAATTATAAAACCGACAAAGATAAAAAAACATCCACAAAGATGGAGAAAGAAAGAGGGAGAGGAAAAATGAGAAAAATAAAATTATAAAAGATAAAGAATAGGATACGCATATCTTTATCTTGAGACGTAAAGTTAGGGAAGAACTGTGTTGGCAGATCTTGACACAATCTTGACTACCTAAAACGTAAAGTGCTTAGCTCGATCTTTATTCTACGAGTTGTACAGCATACGAGTTGTCGAGCATAAACATAGCCAGAAGAACTATTCTCACACAAATAAGCAAGTAAGCAAGTGAACGTGTGTGACGAAGGAAGGAAGGAAAGAAAGAACGAACGAACGAACGAAAGAAAGAAAGAAAGAACGAAAGAATGAAAGAACGAAGGAAGGAAAGAACGTATAAACGAGTTGGCTCGTATATATCGACGAGATTCTCCTCCTCTCCTAACACGCCCACGCTAACTCGTAGCAGCAAGAGCCACGATGAAAAAAAAGAGACAGAGAGAGAGAATAAGAGAGTGTAAGAGAGACACGAGGACTTACAGGTGTACGTTTCACGAACGCGAGCTCGCGTAGGCTCGTTTACTTAGCCAATGCCATAGCTGACTTATTTATCTGTCTTTTGGCCGATGGTGGCAACGCTTCTAGAGAAATAAAAAGAGAAAAAGAGAGAAAGAGAGAGAGAAAGACATAGAGTGGGAAAAAGTTGACCGTATCTATGTACTCGTAGATATACAGGAGATCGTGCGCGCGCGCCTGACTCCGGACTCGTTCAAGGCCTACCTGCTTATGTTGCTGCTGCTGGTGCTGCTGCTGTTGTTGGTGCTCGTGCTGCCGTTGCTGCTGCTACTCGAACAACGACTACGAACAGTGGCATGCTGAGCCGTTTCTTTTCCTCTCTCTCTCTCTCTCTCTCTCTCTCTCTCTCTCTATTTCTCTCTCTATTTTACTACACAATGGCATATACGTGATTTTTCCTCAAATTGTAAGAAATGATGAAAAATAAACTTGATCTTTCCTTTTTTCTTTCATTCTTATAGGCACGTTCCTTCTAGAACTATTTGTGAAAAATGTATCTACCTATTCGTCAGAAAAAAAAAAGAAAAGAAAAAAAGAAAGGAAGATATGGACAGAGGGCAACCTTGAGAAAGTTTACCTCTCTCGACCCTCAAAAAAGGTAAAAAAAAGAAAAAAATAATAAGAAAGAGAGTCGAAGAGGCGTAGGTAACACCGTGAAACGAGTCAGACTCGCGACTCGTACGTGGCTTTTGATGAGCTCTCCGTAGCCGGATTGTCAAGTGACGTCAGCGCACCGGAAATGGAATGTAGGTAGCGGTGCTTATTAAGCTTCAACCACGGAGAGTACGAGAGAAAGAGAGAGAGAGAGAGAGAGAAAAAGAGAGTGTGATGAAGAGAGTTAGAGAACTAAAAAGCGCGATAGAAAGAGAAAGAGAGAGAGAGAAAGAGAGAAAGAGAGAGTTAGGAGAAGAGGACGGATGGAGTTCAATTGTTTCCTCCGCACACGCGTGTGGCAAGTGGCGCGTATGCACGTAGGTATACACGTCCGCTTACACTTCTCAACCTGCTCTCTCTCTCTCTCTCTCTCTCTCTCTCTCTCCTCTCTCTCTCTCCTCTCTCTTTCTCTTGCATTCACAATGACGACCACGACGAAGAGGAGGATCTTGGTGTGGGCATCAGTCATTAAATCAATGCGCCTATGTCAGGATCTGTTCGCGCCTCGCTAATGCGCCAACGGAATGTCGACGAGACGAGTATATACCTTGAAAGATTTGCCAGTTCCGTAGGAAAATTCAAAACGTGTTAAAACGACTGTCGAGTTGTTTCTCTCTTTCTCTCTCTCTCTCTCTCTTTCTCCATCTTGAGATCATCAAGTCTAATCGACGACTTCCTTGAAGAATAGTCAGAGATTAACGAAATCCCTTTTAATAAAACATTTTCAACGAACTTGAATTATTGCAGAATGCAAAGACCCTCTAAGATTATAAGTTGATCTTATTATTTATCTTTGATTGATCGAAGTAACTTTTTTGATTTATAACAAAACAAAACAAAACAAAAGAAAAAAAGAAAAGAAAAAAAATAGAAATTTACCTGTGTAGTACCTATTCGAACGAAATGACGGCGAACATTGCATTGCGAAGGGTGAGGAGAAAGAGGAGGTCCGAAGAGGTCAAAGGAGGTTTAAAAGCGCATGCGTAACAGGGAGGGTTGCGATGGCAGTGGTGGTTGATCGACGCTTGCGCTGTTTCACCCTCGCTCGGATTTTCCCTCTCTTCTCGACAACTCCTCGTTATCTCCTCTACATACCCTCTCCTCTTTTTCTCTTTCCACTCTCTTCTTTCTCTCTCTCTCTCACACCTATGGCGCGTTTCACCCCCTTTTCAAACGGTACTCATTGTTCGCGCGTGTCACGCACCGACGAGGTGAAACCATCCGACGATTTCCTGCCTGGCACCTGGTATCGCGCGCTTTTTTATTCTCTGTTCCTCTCTCTCTCTCTCTCTCTCTTTCTCTCTCTCTCTTTATCTTTCTCTCTCTCTTTATTTATCGTTTTCTTTTTACGTAGATTTATTACACCAATTAATTTGTAACATTGCTTTATTAATTAATCGAAAATATACTTAACTTTGTAAAAGAGGAAGAAAGAAAAATCCGATTTATTATTATACCCTATTGCTGGAATATTATTTTTAAGCAGCTCACTGAATTCACACCATCATGGTAAAGCTTCAAAGGTAGGCGGTGCGAACGTAACGCGACACCATTCCGTGGTAACACCCCTAACGATCGATCGACCAAGATCGCCACTGGAATACGAGATCGTGAACGATATCGAAATTCGAGGCGACTACGATACTACCCAAGAGTATGCGGTTTATCGATGCACACCCTCTTCCGCCAATTCGATCTTTCCTATCGATTTATTATCTCACACACACACACACACTCTCTATATCTCTATTTTTTAAGTTGATTCAAATAAAAAACTTGAAATGGAGAATTTCACTTCCGCCGAAAATAATTGGACCTCAATTATCAATCAATTTCGCCTAGAAATCAAACAAAATGGGAATTAATAATCAATAGATGTTTTTTTTTTTATCAATCAAGATAATAAAAAAGGTTTAAAACAATTAGAAGAAAAAAAAAAGGAAATCATGCAAAAAACTTAAATAGCACGTTAATACATGATCGATATAATCAATATTTCTCCGAGTATGGCATTATCTTATCAGTTTTTACATCGTTCCACATATCGTACGATCATGTTTCATGATCGATCGATTCTGTCAATTAATCAATCTCCCAACGATTACATTTCCTGTTTGTTTTTAGAAAATCAGAAAATCTGACAACACTCGAAGAATATACGATCGATGATCGAGCTGACAACCGAATAAATGCATATTCCCGTTATACGATTTAATGTCATCGTAAAAATTCTTTCAAGTTATTACCCATTTTTATCATCTTTGACACATAAAGAATCTTTTATGGGGTAGGTAAACCATAATGTTCCCAAAACGAATAAATGAATGAATAAATGAATGAAAGAATGAACGTGTGGATAAAACAAAACGACAGGTTTCTCTTGTATTTACTTTCAATGTTGTTTATTTAATTAAAATTCAGTAGTAATTTAGCTTCTGCCGTTCTAACAAAACCAGTGGCCAATGCCACTCGCCAAATTTCAATATTTATTTTTTATCATTAATAATTAATTAATGTATAATAATAATATACAATGAAAGAAGGGAGGGGATAGGTATTGTTTACAGATGTGTGTCATTCTTCTTTTTTTTTTGTTTCCTTTTCGTATATTAGATTGTAATCCCATAAGTATCGTCTTTACATGTCGCCCCTATCATTTGCACCGTGCGTCGTCGGCAAAAATCACGCACGCGTACTGTATTTCAACACGATTGTCAAAGAAAATCGAAGAGTTTTTTCTTAAGATTTTCTACATTAACTCGATCATTTAACTATTTTGGATCATATCGTCAATATCGTTTGTACAAATAAAAATTCTGGTCCTTCGATTTTCTAACAGTACGATCGCCTTCTCTACTGTCTATGTGGTATTTTCTTTTTGTTTTTTTTTTGTTTTCTTTATATGTACATCATTTTCGTTAAAAAATAAAATAATGAAAGAATTATAAAATTTATATCGATCGTATACCGCCGAAAAGTAACGTTCTCTCCGTTGCGCCAAAACTCTTTGTCCATCCTTCCGATACAAAACACTCGAACACTCTCAAAACGTTTCTTCTCTTGTTGAAACGTCGTTGAAACACAAGCGGTATCAACAAAATCTCATATCCCGGCCGTGCATCGTCTCCATTCGATCGAAATCTACACCTAAACAAAAAAGATTACTTAGTGAGTTGCCGAGACACGATTAAAAAATATATTTCTCTTTTAATATAACGTCCAAATCAAATAAATAGACTCGCGACTATTAAGAACGAGAGAGAATTAACGAACAGAATTTCAATTGGCGCAACGAACGCTTTCTTTCCGATAGTCGATCGTATTTTTCTTTTTCTCTCTATGTCTCTCTATCTCTGCGTGTGTATATATAGGTAACAAGAAATTGTACAAAATATCTTCATTTATCGAAAATAATTTCTCGTTAACATTCCATCAGATTTTGCAACGTGTATCACTTACATTACATTAGACGGTTAATACATTATTAGCCACAATCAAAAGGCAACCATTTTCTTGAATACTTTGAACAAACCAGTCAAAAATATTATCCTCATTGGTTACGTTTTTTCTCATTAATTAAAAGGTGCCAAGAAGGAAATAACGGGTGAGAAATTTTTCCGCGTATCTACGTACGAGAAGCGCTTACCGAACACATTCTGGCGAAAACTCGTTAATATTCTACGAAGACGTAGTTCTAATCGATCGATGAGAAAAACAGAAAAAAGATATATACGAAGGAACAAGGAAAAAGAAAAAAGAAAAAAAAAAGGCATGACCAATCGAAGCTCTTGGGTAGAAAGATAAGAGAGCTATATACACCTATGCGTGGCAAAGTGAGCAAATAATCGTGCACGAGCACAAACTCAAGTCAGTATAGGGATAATAAAGCCGCGTAATCCACCTGCGCGCTGTGGCGTTACGTCGACATCGCCAACGTAACGTTTTAATGAACTTGCGCCTCGCTGTTTTGTGGCAAATCTTACGTAATCGAGGGAAGCTAAGAAGAGAACCGAGAGAAGTTTGTTTATTAGGGGGAGACGACGGATTTAACGACGTCCCGTTCCGCCGGTTTTCTCCGATATACCCTCACCACCTCACCACCACCTCCTCCTCCTCCTCCTCCTTCTCTTATCCACCATAAGTCCCTCCTGTGCCTAGAGAAAGAGAAAGAAAAAGAGAAAAAGAGAGAGAGAGAGAGACCAGTTGCCCACGCTGTATGAGAGAGACATTCATTTTTCAAATACTAAACTCTTTCACAAGAAATCTAGTCCCACATGAAACTACCTTCTTTTTTTCTTTTTTTTTTTTTTTTTTGACTTGCATTTTCCGCACCCGCATTACAGTATCAATCGTAACAAGACCGAAAAAAAACAACACTGATAACGATATTCTTATACTTCTTTGTTTTCATCAAAAATTGATTGAACTTATTCAGGTAAGAGAATACTAACGCAATACTTATATAGTATAATGTTTTATGAAAATTCATAAATGGTTTTTTTTAAAGGATTAGAATCATATTATCAAGGTATGTAGGTAGATACATTGAGTGAACGCGCGCGCATTGTTACACGAAACGTCTGGCTCACGGTCTTGCTCATCATGCGAGAGATTACTTCGCATTCCTACATGCATTGCATAATTTAGCATACTTTATTCGTACTCCTTCAAAATACTTATCATCGGATTTACACGTCGAAGTGAACGGGACGGTCTAATGGAATTACACGTGTCCGGAAGATCAACGAGCGCGTTTTATCCTGAGATCGTTGTCGATTAACTTTTAGAAGAAAAAATATTGATAAAAAAACATTTCTCTTTACAAAAAAAAAAAAAGGAAAAGGATCTTTCAGCTCACTCAAAATGTACATCAGGGAGGGACTTTCACAAATTCGCAATCTTAGAGGAAGTTTCTTCCGCGAAGCTGTCTTAACGACGAAAGGACAAGCTAAAGGTAACCCTTTTCAAGAGAATTTGCAAAGAAAAGAACACGCTAACATGGCTGACGAGAAAATACATACCTACATATATAGAGAGAGGGAATGAAACGAAGAACGATACGAAGGATAAAATTGACTATGTTTACTCGTGTATCTATGAACAGAAAAAAAAAACAAGAAGAAAAAAATCGATATTGACTATATCTTTGAGTAGATGGAAAAAATTGAGAAAAATACTCACGACATCTAAACCACTGAAATAGCAAGAATTTTTATCGAAAACAATATAATAAGTATATGTACAATATACTTATAGAGATATCTCTTAGCTAATAATCGAAAAGGTGCTCATATTTTCTCATTTTTTTTTTTTTTTTTTTTTTTTTTTTTGGTTTATTCATTATTCCTCTAGCTCTTTTTTTCTATATTTTATGTATAATCTATATAGTATACATTCACCATCCCCAGGTTGGACACATCGATGTTTTTTAAATTCTCCTTCTACCTCGTTAATAAACGCGATTGCATGCACGCGCGCGCTCGCTCGAGCGCGAATTTATACTCGGTGAGCTTCGACCAAAAAAGAAAAAAAAAACAAGTACCGAAAAAAAACGTTCTTTTTTTTCTACGGACAGGACGCCCGTATCGAATTTTTGTTACGCGTCACTGACGGAAGATGAATTCGCATTTTGTTGCAAAACGTTGCTTCTTTCTCTCTCTCTCTCTCTCTCTCTCTCTTTCTCGTTCCCTCTCTCAAATACACATACACAGACACTTTCTATACACAATCGTGCCCGCGAGGCTAACAGACATTCCCCCCGTTAATATCAAAATGTCGCAAGATCTTGAAAAAAAAAATCGAAATAAAATCGACTAAAAACGATCCTACGTGAAAGGGAAAGAGAGAGAAATGAGAAATAGGTAAGGTAAGAATAGAAAGACGAATCTTCATTTCATCCGAACGAATTTAACAAGAAATTTTCGATAAAATTTGAAAATTACAATCACAAAAGAGAGAAAAACAAGAGAAAAACAAAAATTGAAAATTTTCCAATAAATTTCGGAAAGATTCTTACGTCCTTCCTTTTAAAATAGTTCGCAGTTTTTTAGTGTTAACAAATTAATAGTAATAATAATTATTATAGTAATTATAATTATAAAAATAATAATAATAATAATAACATAAAAACAAAGCAATAATATACGGTAATAATAAATGGTGACCTGGTAATATAATAGCAATCATAATAAACATGATGAATAATAAGAAAAAAATCTTTCACAATAATGACAATAATATTAACGAACCGTAATTATTACAATTATCTTTTCCAAGGAGATAAGATATCTCGAATAATAAACAAACATATAGAATATAATAATAATATAATAATACATAAATAATATTCATAATAATAATATTAATAATAATAACAACAATAATAATAATAATAATAATAATAATAATAATAATTCTAATTATATAATTACAATAAAAATAATCAATAATAATATACAAAACTATAGCCTTTCGAACAATGGTTCAACCGTAAATCTTGTTCACATAATATTAGTATCGTCCAAAAATAATTGCAGTTCTTAAATAATAAATTTACAGACTTGGTTAAAACGTCAAATAATTGTTGAACAATTGTCATTGAACTCTTTTGCAACTTCTCCAGTTGTTTTACTTGAATTTACTTCAATAATGTCCCTTAAATCATTATTGTCAATAAATACAGGACATTTACAACCCTTTTTATCTTTGAGCTTTCGCTTCCATCACGGAATTTACCAATATTGAATTGCAGGTTCGTTAATTGTTTAAATGGCCAAAAACAAGGTTTATATTTCAAGAAGTTTCTGCTTCTTAACATCCCAATTTAACTCATATATATGATTAATTCTAATAACTCATGTATATGAATAATTCATTTAAATGCAACATTACTATTAAATGAAAACAATAATGTAAGCAAACATCACCAGTTCCAATTAGACCTTTTACCATGGTGCATAACATGACGAAAAGTAATCAGAAAATCCTCTTTCTAATATCAAATAATAAAAACCACAATTAATTTTGCACCTATCTAATATTTATGTATATACATATACTATTTATATCCGTTTACTTAATAATTAATATATTTCATATATATGTATATACTTACTCTTTATACAGAAGGGTAATTTTTTCGTTTGATGGGGATCTGTCTGGTTGAATTTCGCACACGTGTGGCTCGAGTATCCCCGCAAGGACGATGACGATGACGATGACGATAAAGATGACGACGACTTAAAAGACGACGCGTGCGCCCTTGTTTCAATCCTCATTTTTCCTTTTACAATCTGCTTTGTCTTCTATTTCTTCATTTTCCCAATCTTTCCATGTCGTTAGTCCATGCCATACTCTTTTTTCTTTTTTTTTCTTTTCTTTTTTTTGTAAGAAGGCGATGACAGTGTCGGTGGCGATGGCAGCTGCGACGGCAGCATTGATGACAATGACGATGAGAGACGCCGGCAACGGTGTCAACGATGACGACGACGCCAACGGCAAATGTTTTCACTTAACTTACTAGCTCTTTTTATCTAGTACATTATTTACAGTCCATATTTACTTATGTTACATCATTCGCCGGGACTCGCAGCATTTCGCGCTAAATCCCAAACGAACACAGCACTATCCTACGTATGTATGTTCGTTGCGTTTTGTCCCTCATTTTCTCTTTCTCTTTTTCTTTTTGATTTGATTTATTTCTTTTTTTTTTGTTTTTTTCTTTTGCTCATTCGCTCATTTAACATGCATTCCCTCTCTTTCTCATATTCACTAAATCTTTCGGTCCAATTCTCTTCTTCACCAATAGTCTTTCCTCGGAACGCGCACTGTAATAAGTATTTAGAGAGAAAGAGAGAGAAAACAGAGAAAGAGAAAGAGTTTAACACAAACGACACTCGTCGAGCAATAGGGACGAACGAGCGACGTTTCCAAGTCCATGTTTCTAATAGATCGTATTACTTTTCTCGGCTTATTTTCAGCGACGGTGTACGACGTTGATCGTCCTTTATATTCATCTCTCTTATTCTCTTATATCATCTTTTGAGTCCTCTTGTCGTACGAGAGACGAAGAGGAAGGGAGGAAAAGAGAGAGAGAGAGAGAAAAAGAGAGAATGAAAGTAAAGGAACGGTATTAAGAGCGAGAACAATAGTAACAGAGCAGCATCGAACATCGAGCATCGAGCTCGTCAGCCTCCCCGGTGTGTATGGGCCAAGAGTTCAGCCTCGTTAGGCCCCGTTGAACCTTCTAATCAAATGAAGTCCATCCACGATTGGTGTATCCCGTTTTTTATGTTTCCATCCTCCTTGATTTCGTGTATGTTCGCATAGACCGCCTAGAGCTACGAGTTACCGGCATAACCGGTACGAGTTTGCAGATAGTGTTGGTAAAAGTGCGGTAGACTATCCGCCGTTGGTGGCGGCGGAGGCGGTGGCGCAGACGAGGACACGGAGGAATTCGGCGCGTTTTGAGAGGTTAATGCGAGGCCCAACGGGGGAGGCCCCGGCGAACGCTAGTGAGCCGCCAACGAGTGAGCCGTGAGACCTTGAGGACTTAGCATCGGGGGACTGTGGCTATGACCCATGGGCGAGCCATGGAGGTGATCCTGCGGATGATAGCCCTGGTGGATGCCACCCTGTCCCTGATGACCCGGCGGCATGCCTTCCATGATGCCGTCGCCAAGCGTGTTCGGTGGTGTCATCCTCTTTTCCTTTTGCCGTCGGTTACAGAACCACACCCTTACTACTTCCTTTTCTAGTTGCAGACTATCGGCCAACGTTGTAATCTCTTGAGCAGAGGGTTTTGGTTGCTTGTGAAAATGTTGCTCGAGAGCACCCTTCACCGAAACCTCGATCGACGTTCTCTTCTTTCGTTTTCTACCTTGTGCCGCAATCTTATCGATGCTCGTTGGCGAGCCCGTCGTCGAGTCCGCTTCTTCGAGCCATTTTTGTAAGAGAGGTTTTAGTTTACACATGTTTTTGAAGCTTAGCTGCAACGCCTCAAACCTGCATATCGTCGTTTGCGAGAATACATTTCCGTAAAGGGTACCGAGTGCAAGACCAACGTCCGCTTGGGTAAAGCCGAGCTTAATGCGTCTCTGTTTGAATTGTTTCGCAAATGCCTCGAGATCATCGGAAGTCGGCGTATCTTCCTCGCCAGCACTGTGATCCCTATCAAGAGGATGTCCCGGATGAAGTGGATGACCTGTCGGTGGACTGTGATTGTGGGCGTCCCTGAGATGATGAGGAAGGCCGGCCTGGTGATTGTGCAACTGATGGGGATGCTGGTGAGGATGTTGATGTAGCATGCCGTTCATCGCCGCATGGTATTGTTGCAGGGTCGTCGGCGAAGCCGCACCACCACTTGGATTGTAATGTGCTGAGGGTACAACTGGCGCGTGCCAGGAATGCGGCGACGCCATACCAGGGGATTGATGAGGTCCGCGATGGTGCATGCCTTGATCGGCGTTTGCCGCCGCGGCAGCGGCCGTTAAAGGTTTCACATCTAAACTCGTATTAGCCTGATGGGGATGATGATGAGGATGATGACTCGTATGATGCATCCCCATAGAAGCTGCCCAGGGATCGCTACCAGGTTGCAAACTGACCCATGGATTAGCCGAGGAGAGGCTCGCCGCCGGATGCGAAAGTCCATTTGGCGACGGCGACGACGTCACCTGATGATGATGGTGATGATGATGATGATGCTGCGGCGCCGGCATATATTTCATTTCGCCGGCGTCGGCGGCGCTGCGGGGCGAGCCCGAGGAATAGCCACCCACGGCGATGTTCATCCCGATTGTTGTACCCGAACCACCATCCAGCTCGGCCGACACTGCACTACTAACCGGCATGTACGTGGTAGCGGCCATCTACTTCCCCTCGTCGAGAGGTCTTTTTTAGCTGCTCGCTGCCGGTTTTATCTTGACGTACCGGCTAATTTTGCGAGCACACCTCTCTAGACCTAGACTTTTTTCTCACTCTCTCTCTCTCTCACACACCCTCCTCTCCTCCAACAATAAAAACGATTAAAATTTCTTCAGAATATAAAACCAAAACGTAATCCTTTTTAATATCAGAGACTATTAACGACCGCTTGCACCGGTCCACCGTTCGCGAAAACGTAAGAAATCCCGATCGAGCGGCATTCTTCCAAGCGTACTCGTTACTACGCCCGTCGAAAACAGTATCTCCAGCTAATTTCTTTTCTATTCTATCACACGTTATTACAGAGCACACAAGTTACCTTCTTCAAAGGTGACAGCACTCGCGATAGTAATCCCGATATCAGCCGATATCACTCATGCTTCGTATTCGAACTCGCGTAAAACGAAATCAAAGTAACAGAAAAAAAAGGTATTTATTATAATCACTGACGATGCTGAACGAGGAGTAAAACGCAGACAACGTTGACACACTCTCGAAGACTTGCGGAATGGTAGAGACGAAACGCGACTCTCTCCTCGCTCTTGCTGCCGGTCGCACTCTCGCGCGTTTCGAACTGTGTCGTAGTCGTCCTCGTCGTCGTCGTTGTCGTTACCGTCCTCGTCGTCGTCGTCGTCGTCGTCGTCGTAATCGCAACTATCGTTGTCACCCTCGTCGTCACCCTCGTCGTCTTTGAAATCGTATGTGGGAGTTATGGGAGAAAGAGTGGATGCGTGTGATATAGCCAACGCCAAGGAACGTTTACGTTGTTGTTGTTGATCGAGGAGTGTCGTATGTGTGAGAATGTGTCGTAGTAGTAACAACGAGTAGTAATGAAAGAGAGAGAGAGAGTGAGTGAGTGAGAGAGAGAGAGAGAGAAAGAGTGCGTGGTAAGGAGAGAACGGGTCGTAGAAAGATCTCGCTCGGGCTCTCTCATGCGTTATGCATGTCGTAGCTGAGAGCGACTGACTGCCTCGCCTCGTAGCTCGCCCGAGGTTCCCGAGGCTCCCGGAGCGGTTGGTAGAGGTTCGTCATGCGCGCCACCGTTCTGCCAATCCCCACTCTTTTCTACGTTCTCTCATGCGATTGGTTCAGCTGGCAAGGTGGCCGTCGACGTACGTCACTGTCAGGCGGCACCTAATCTGACCGCGCCTACGGAACAGGCGAGGCACCCTAGGCGCCAGTCCTTTTTCCCCTCCACCCACTTCCACTGTCTATCGGTCTCTCTCTCTCTCTCTCACTCTCCCTCTCTCTCCACTCTCCCTCTCTCTCTCTCTCTTTCTTTCTCTCTGCTTTTACCTCTCTTCGAGCTACTACAGGACCGACCGAGCTTCTTCGCGCGCCGTTGCTCCTGCCGGCAGCAAAGAAGACTCCACACGTCCAGGAGCCTCTCTTTCCTCTTTATTCCTTCCAGAAGTACTACGTGCTCCTTTATTCTCTTCGGTCACATCTTTTCCACACTTTTCTTTTTGTTTGTTTTTTTTTCTTTTTTTTTTTACCTTTAGATAGACTAACCCACGAGTATCCTCTTCTTCTTACCAACAACGATCTCGCAGAAATCCTACAAGCAACAGGTACTAATTTAACCCCTAAGTAATTATCCGCGAAGAGGCCCGTCCCTAACTTTCAAGAAAGATGTCACAACCCGCACGCATTTCTTCCGATTTTTCTTTCGGTTCTTAAGTCACAATGCAACAGGTATACTTATGTATATACATGTTTGGGTGTATGTGTTTACAACTATTAAATCCATCTTATCAATATCGAAATTTATCTCGCCTGTTCGTTTAGTTTGTATATTCGATTTCAGCATTACACAACAGGTATTCATTCTAAGTGATTAATTACACCAAGAAAAATGGACCAGTTGTACCCCTGAGGTGGTCGTTTGCCCGAGAGAAGGTGGTATCAATAGGAAGGACAAAAAAAAAGCATGTTTCGTCGGTGCAGCCGCGAACCGACTGATGTGAGAGAGGGAGAGAAAGACGAATAGCGAAGAAAGGGAAAAGAGAGAGAGAGATAAAAAGGAAAGGGGGAGGACAGCAAGCGAGGTTTAGTACATTTAAATGAGAGCCACAGGTAGCAGCATTATGCAGTACGTGCCAGCGACCCCTGAAGAGGGGTGAGTTAGATCATCGTGCGCCGCGTTCTCTCCCTCATCCCCCCTCCCCCAATTCGCCCCGGCAGGCGCCCCTTTCATACACCACAGCACAGCCACCCAGCTGGCTTGCCTATCTTCGCACCTGTGTGTTCTACAACGAGACAAAGTCGATCTTTGCTAATCTTTTTTCTTTTCTTATCGTTTTTAGCGACTATCCAAAGACGTTCTCAAAGCGGCTCGTTCTTCCTTCTTGAAATGCAACAGTTGGCGTTAAGTTACTAGGTCACGAGGCTCTCTGCCTTTCCTTCGTGCGAGTTACGCGTGAAAAGCATGCTACTCGATGAGGATCGAAAAGATTTGAAAACTTTGTTAAAAGGAAAGAAAGAGAGAGAGAAAGAGAGATAAAGAGAGATAAAGAGAGATAAAGACAAATAAATAGAAAGAAAAGATACGGGTAAAGAAACGAATACAAGTAGTTCTCCTCGGTCGCATTTTTCTTTCTTATTTTCACGTTGACATATGAGCTACCGATAGAAGCAAGGCACGAGGACATGAATTCGCGTTTGTTACAGTTGACCGCGTGGCTTGCTGCCATAAGTGTCATTGGAATAGTAGGAAATCATAAATAAGAAGCAATAATAGAATCGTCTTTACATATGTATCGGCTAAAGCTGACGGATTATGAATGGCTCTACTTAAAATGCTGAAGACGCTTGACTTGAGCATTCGACGCTTTAACTCGCACAATATAAACTAGACCGATAACGTTTTTGACACTGCGCACGTGCGCGTGAACAAGTACATGGAGATAAAGTACTGGGAACGAATTCGTTTCAAGCAATCCTGACGCAGTAAAGAAGCGAACGATTAACGCACGATTAATAGCCGATTAACCAGATAAGTGCTATAAACACTTTTGAATCATTGTGCCCATCTTTTGTCAAACCTTAGAATTGTTTATCGCAGCAATAAAGTCTTATATTTCCTACATCTAATCGATTTTGCCACAGTACTTTACTTCCAACGAAATCGTCCATTTTATCTCAATATTTCGGTACTTTCTCGAGCCGTAAAACGACTTCTAACTTCCTCTATAAAAAAAAATGGAGAAAAAACATGAAAGAACTTAAACGATGTTATTGCATCAATTTTAAAAAGCAAATGTATTATCCACACCTCTTTTGTCACTTATTAAGCATCTAATTCAAACTTAATTTTTCCTTTTATTGAGTCGAATTGGATAGGATGATTTTAAGAAATATTTATTTAGGATCGAACAGGTAGTAGGTAGAAATTTCTTCTTGGTTTGTCTAACTGATGCAAAGAAGGGTTGAAACTCCCAACGGTTCACAATTTCTATGAGCCTACAGGAAACACTTTTACTACCTGAACGTTTGCGCGCATAATTTAGGCACCCCTCTACTAGTTTTGTTCTAGAGGGGATAATGCAACATGGCTACAACTTGTTTCTCTTGGTTCCACTATAGAGTCCCCAGTGTATAAAAACATTTGTGGAAAACATTAGAAACTTTTGACGTTACCTTGAACGCTAAGTCTACGACCCTGAACCAAAAGTAGAAACGTATGATAAAAAATTCGGAACGTATCGTAGGTCCGGAGACTGTAAAAAAAGAATGGAGATAGAAATGAAGCGGATGGGGAATGCTAACAGACGTAATTTGACCGCTTTTATGTCCGGGAATGAATATTTTAATATTTTAATACAAAATACGCTATGAAGGATTTTATGGTACACTATGACTTTTTCCCTATCGGTAGAAGTATATACTACCCGCGAACTTGATAGTATAGAAGCAGAAAAATGAAGGGGAAAAATAAGGAAGGGCGGAAATGATAGAGAAGGTAAAGCTAAAAGTAGTGGAGGGGTTGGTTTGTGTCTTTTAATAGGAGGAGAAAAAGGTGGAGAAGGAGAAGAATTCAGTTGGAAAATGTCTTGCTCAGATGGCAGCATCATGCGGCTCGGGTTGAGAAAAAAGGGGGTAAAACTTGCTCCAGTGATTCCCCACCTTACAATTATATTTTTTCTTTCAATGGTGGGGAAAGTCCTAGAACAGTGTGCTGCCATCCAACGACAACAAACTGTACTCTTTCGTTACGATCGATGATAAACCGTTGCTTGCTGGATAATAAATTTTGATTTATTCTCTCTTATTTTAAAATTCACCAAGCATCGATCGGAATAATTATTTTCAACGTTCACGTTCCATTAAATTTTTTAACGTCATTTTTTTTTAAGTATTAGTTGCAGTATTTCTAACAAACACTAAGGAAACGTATAAAGATATTTAAAACGTTTTCGCATAGCGACACGTTAGTGTCTTTCACAAAGAAAATCAATCGACAGGCGTATGTATATGTGTAAATACGGAGGTTTATTTGAAAAGACGCAAAGATCGTAGTAAAGGAATATGTCAACGAACGAATATGGTGAAAGAATGACAGTATTAGTAGTAGTGAACTGAGGAAGCGGGGATATGGAGAACAATGCTTTATTTACTGCCGGAAGCTCCGTGAGCCGAATTTCAAAGATCGCGAACGGCAAATCCTGTACAATTCGATCTCTAGGTGCGGCACAAGAAGGTGACATCTATTCTCAAGGATCGAAAATAAAAACAATTTTTTATTCGAATTTATTTTTCTTTTATTATAAAAACGCTATCTGTGTTTTAGTACGAAAACGAGGAGAATAGTTTAGGATAAACTAAAATTAAATTATAGTAACTGAGGAGAAAGAGAAAGAGAGAGAGAGAGAGAGAGAGAGTCCAGTTCAAGCTTAGTTATCTGAAGCTAACTTTGCGAACCACTATCCATTGAATAAGAGAAGGACAGATAGAAGAACGAAACTCACTATGGGATTCACGGGTGAGAAACCTCAGGCCTTAGCCAAATTTGCGTTTGAAATCGACCGCCATTTCTCACTCTCTCTCTCTCTCTCTATCTATCTATCTTTCTCTCGTGGTTTATGCCAGCCTAAAGCACGAAACTATTCGAAGCCCTTGGTATTCTAGGTTCTAGGTTCGCGAGAAACTTTGACGACATTCGGTTCGCGATGGAAATGTATGATGCTTTTGCCTAATGCAACATGTTAACCCTTTGGACTTTAACTCTTTAGCTTGCTTAACTTTGACGAAACGTTTTACGATAACGTTTAAATACATAGAAATTTATTGTAAAGCAATTGAAGGTCTTTCTCTTTGACGCTACCGGCAACAACAGGAGTAATCACGAATAATGATAATCGGGCGATGACGTGGGGATCACATGGGGAAGAGGAGGGAAAAGAAGGGATAAGGGAGTAAGGGAGAAGATGTCCAAGAAAGGGTGCATCTCGATGGCCGACGGCGGTCAGCTTTTACGATCGTTGTAAGGAACATCCGATGATGCTGCTGCTGTTGCTGCTGCTGCTGTTGCTGCTGCTCTTTCCTACGAAGAAATAAAAAGAGAGATAGAAAGAGAAAGAGAGAGAAAAGATGTTAGGAGGGAATTCTTCGTTCGTATACGTGCGTGACGTCAATATGTCGAGGGTAATAAGATGGCCGGCGATAAAGTGGTGGGTGTAGATACAAGATAACAATCAGCTGCAGTAGCTTCTGGCAATCTCGTGATTACAGGCTTAACCTCCCCTTTCTCTCTTATTCGTTTTCTCTCTCTCTCTCTCTCTCTCTCTCCCTTTCTTTTCTTTTTCTTACTCACTCACTCAGTCTTTACGATATATTTCATAAGAGGCATGGATCGTCTCTCTTTCTTTCTCTCTCTTTCTCTTTCTTTCTCGTTTTTTTCCTCCTACTTCTTCTATCCGACTTTAGAGCCCATCTCAAGAAGTATTTCTCTCTCTCTTCCTCTCTTTTAAACTTTGCAGTCTTTCCGATTTTCGCA